CGCACCGCTCCGCCAGCTCCCGGCTCCAGTACGGATGTTCGATTCGAATCCTGCGGCCTGCCTGGCCGCACTGTTTCTCTTTTCGCCCGGCCGCGCCCATTGGCGGAGCTTGGAGCCGTGGGGCTGCCTGGCATTGGCCGAGCGCTGTGTTTTGACCCATTCGGGCTTGTAATTGGCTACGGCTGGGCGTTTGGGGGTGGAGCTCTGCACGCTGATTGGTCTTCCCTTGTGCTGTTTGAACTTAACTTGAAAACCTTGAGTGCCTGCTGATTGGCCGAGGCCCCTCTGTTTGCTGTTGTAGGCTTGGGGGTGGTGCGGCCAAGTTCATTCATTACTTCATTGAAACTGAACATGCTCAGCTGGAAAAGCGAGACAGAGTGGCTTTGACTCATTTCCTCTGAAAGATGTGGTCATCTCAAGAAACAGTGATCAAAATAGAAAACAGAGCCTTTGCAACTGCTCAAAAGTATTTAATTTTTAAAAATAACTTTCAAGGAGTCCTACTTTTCTTGAAACTTTTTATTGAAATAAAACGTACGTATAAGGAAGTACAAAGATTTTTCACAAAATGAACAATTAAGAGAACTTCACTCGCACCCTAAGAACCCCCTTCCTGCTCCCTGCTAATGATTATCCACGTGGAGGATGAGCACTCTTCCTACCACCTAAGATGTGTCTCTCTGAAGATGTAAACCAATATTAATGTACAATAAATACAACAGTGAGGGGAAAAAATGCAAGACTTTCTCAGTGACGAATATACCAAGCAGAATCTTTAGATGTTGAGCAGAGACTTTAATTCCTACCATTATTTTTTTTTAAAGATTGTTTCTAAACAGGGTCTGGCTCTTAACCCCTAGCCCTTTGAAACCCAAGTTTGTTTATATGTGCAGAGCTTCCGCCTTCTGTTTTAAAATTTGACCTCAGGGCAGGGTTTGGGAATTGTGAGGGTGGGGAAAGAACTGAGAGTTGAAGCAGACTGGGGAAGGGGCAAAAGAGATTAGGCAGGTAAATATTGTTAGGGATTCACTGTTAGAAGTCTTTCGGAAAATATAGTCAGTTTTTTTTTTTTTTTTTTTATCTAAACTACTAATTATAGAGTATATCTGAACTAGTTACAGGTCTGCAGAAATAAAGAGGCTAATGGCTTTATTTTGACTTTGCCTAAAGCGGATTTAACTCTCCCATCTAAGAAAGCTTGACCATTGTTTTAAAAAAGTTGATAAATAAGGAAAAATTACAACCAGTGTTTATGTACTAATGAAAAACAGCCTCAGGCACTTTCATGAACTAATCCTATTTGGCTAGTTTGTTCTGGAAGGGTAGGAGGTCACCTTTTTGCCTGCTGAGACCTATTTCTCGTGTTGAAATGATGCCTGGATGCCCCAAAGTGCCCAAGAGACAAGTACAGTTTGTGGCCCAGCCCTTCCCTCCCAGTAATTGCAAGGTGAAAATAAAAGTGAACCGCTTACATTGCCAGGGAGCTCAGGCCACAAACAGCCCCAGAACAAGGAAGTACTGTCATGTGGGGCTTCGGGTTTTCACAAGCACATACAGGTGTCCGACATGCCAGGGCCATGAGTTGTAGAATTTGCCCTGGGCAGACACATTTCTGGCTGTAGGAAAACATCCCCTATGCATCTCTATACATATTTTTTAAAGACAGATTCTAATGGTATCTTGCTCCTCCTGCCTGAGCCTCCCAGGTAGTGTGCACCACTATACTTGGCTCTTTTTTTTTTTTTTTTTAAAGAAAGGGTCTTGGGACCAGCAGGTGGTGTGGTGATTAAGGCTCTGGACACTCCCACATGACTGACCATGGTTCGAGTCCTGGACCTGGTGCGTGCTTTCTCACTTTCCTCTCTTTCTCTGTGTCTCTCTCTGGTCAAATTTAAAAAATGAATGAATAAATAAATAAATATTTAAAAAAAGAAAGAAAGGATCTTGCTAGGCTGCCTCAATCAGCCTGAAGCTCACAGTCCTCCTGCCTCAGGGCCACTGAGTGGCATGGTGGTTAGAGTGCTCGACTTCTGCTTGGCTGACCGCCGTTCCAGTCCCAGACCTTAGTGGCTCAAAAATCCCGGGCATGTGTGCATGCATGCCCACAATTTGTGGGATTGTGGCATGACTATAACCACTGGGGGTTATTTCTCACTTTTCTTCTCTCTGTCTCCCCATCAGTCTCCAGTGAGCACACACACTCTGTGACAAAAAAAAAAAAAAAAAAAAAAAGTTCTCAAGGAAGACAAGGGTCCAAAATGCCAAACCTGTTACTTCCTGGATATCAAGACAGTTTATCCTGAAGGTTTATTAAATGTTCACCATTTGCAGGGACACAGCTGTGAGCGTCTGGGAGAGGCATGAGGGTGGGGCTCCTCAGCTAGAGGGATGGGCTCTGGTTACCTTCTATGGGCATAAGGTCCCTCCAGGAAGAGGGAAGGACAAGGAGTTCCATCTGTGACTTGTGGTCCTGAGACTTGAAAGTGCTTGATCAATACTTTGGCTTCTGAGAATCTGGTTAGAGATAAACGGCTGGGAAATTCAAGAGGGCTCCTCTCTTGGGAGAACTGGGAGAATGAATGAGGTCATGTTCGCAGAGGACTTTGAGCTGTCAGGATGAAAGCAAATCTCCAAGGGCAAGGTATTATTAACTGAAGGTATTATTATTTTCATCTAAGAGGACAATGTGTGGCAGGTAAAATAGAGCAATAAAAACATGCCCATTAATAACAAATAAAATACAGTCGGAGCCTTGGAAAAAACCCAAATCCTCAGGACTCCATTGGTCTAAACTGCAAAATGAGCAAGTGATGATGCAGCTGAGAAGAGGAAGGGTCCCAGCCAGAACGTCCTCGGTGCCCGCATAGGAAGGGAGCTGTGAGGGCAAGCCACTGAGTCACTGAGACAGGCACATGACAGCTGAGCCTTGACGAGCAGCTGCCACTCACCTTAGGGTTCCTGTGAACCAGGCACCTCTCTGAGTTTGATGTCTACTCATTCATTTAGGGTCTCTCTCTCTGCAATACTGAACCCCATTTTACAGATGAGACGACCGAGGGATGGGGGAGGGGAAGGTCTCCCCAAGACCGCATGCTAATCAGTGGTGGGGTGAGGCTAACTGCTACACCGCACCACCTCTCTTAATGTGGTAGTTCTCAGGCCCAGCAGATGGTATAATGGTTATGTTGCCACTGAATTCCCAAGTAGTCAACTGCGGTTTTCGAGTCACGGACCAGGCAGCTTAAAATGCATGCCAGGGGGACCAGCAGATGGTGTAATGGTTATGTTGCTGGACTCCCACATAGTCGATTGCAGAACAAGTCCCAGACCCAGCAGCTTAAACCTCATACTTTAGGCACATGTGCATGTGTGCCCAGGATCCCAAGAGGAGAATGGAGGAGAAGGGGTTGCGACATGGCCATTCCCCCCCCCCGGGGGGGTGATTTCTCGCTTTTTATCTCTCTGTCTGTCTCTGTCTCTCCGGTGAGCACACACACCCTATAACAAAAATTTCTCTTATAAAAACAAAAACAAAAACAAAAAAAACAAGGGAACCAGCAGTTAGTGTAATGGCTATGTTGCTGGACTCCCACGTAGTCGACCGCGGTTTGCGTCCCGGACCCGGTGGCTTAGAACTCACTCCGGGCACATGTGCGTGCGTGCCCAAGATCCGGAGAAAAGAATGGAGGAGAAGGGATTGCGGCGTGACCATCCCCCCTGGAGGGTGATTTCTCGCTTTCTGTCTCTCTGTCTCCCTCTGTCTGTCTGGTGAGCGCACGCGCCCTATAGCAAAAACCTCTCCAACAAACAAACAAACAAAAACCTCATGCCAGGTGCATGTGCATGTGTGCCCCAAATCCGAGAGGAGAATGGAGAAGAAGAGATTGCAACATGGCCATCTTTCCTGGGGTGTGATTTCTTGCTTTCTCTCTGTCTGTCTGTCTCCCTGGCTAGTGCACGGGCCCTATAACAAAAAAATTCTCTAAAAAATAAATAATAAAAAAAAAGTCATCTCCACAGGGCTCACTGTGGAGCCCCTCCCAAACAAGAGCTTTGAAGGCTCTGAAATTTTCACTAGGGATGCCTGAAAAGAGTGGACCTAAAATGGGAAAAAGGGCACCAGCTGTTATGGCCAAAGATGGGAGAGGGCGGAGAACCAGCGTTTCAATGCTCATCCACAGTGCATTCCAGTCCCGTTCCTTTCTGTATTTTATTTTTTAAAGAAGTATTTATTTAATTTTATTTACTATTATTATTATTAATTTGTTATAGGGCATGTGCAATCACCAGAGAGACAGACAGGGACCATGAAAGCAAGCTGCCAGGTCCAGACTCAAACTGCCATCAGCCATTTGGGAGTTCAGCTCCTTTTTTAGAAAAAAAATTTTTTTTTAATTATTTAATTTTATTTATTCATTCACTTATTTTAATTTGACCAGAGAGAGACAGAGAGAGAGGGAGAGAAAGTGGGAAAGCAAGCCACCAGATCCAGGACTTGAACTGTGGTCGCCCACGTGGGAGTGTCCAGCGCCTTAACCACCACACCACCTACTGGTCCCCTCTCTTCTCTTTCTTTCTTTCTTTTTTTTTCTTTATTTGGAGAGGTTTTTTGCTATAGGGTGCGTGCGCTCGCCAGACAGACAGAGGGAGACAGAGAGACAGAAAGCAAGAAATCACCCCCCAGAGGGGATGGCCACGCCGCAATCCCTTCTCTTCCATTCTCCTCTCAGGATTTTGGGCACGCATGCACACGCGCCCGGCGTGAGTTTAAGCCACGGGTCCAGGACTCGAACCGCGGTCGACTACGAGGGAGTCCAGCAACATAGCCATTACGCTAACTGCTGGTCCCCCTCCTCTCTTTCTTATTTCTTGTTTTTCTACTATTGCTTCAAGATGACAAGACAAAAAGACAAGGGGACCAGGGGAAGCATAAAGGTGTTGAAAGAAGGAGAGTGAGAATGGGGAAGAAGGAATACGAAGATTAAACTGGACCCACACACTCCTGGACAGCTCAGGCCCAGAAGTGCCGCTGCTGGTGGGAAGGGCTCAGTCTCCGTCCAGGCTAGGTTATTGCTAGCCTTTGTTGGCTTAACACAACCTATTTTTTTGCTGCTATTTTTCATTGCAAATTCATGCTATTTCTACTATACAGGGCTAAATAGACTTGCTATTTTTGAAGCATTTTTTCTAGTCTTTTGTCTCAAAGAGGAAGGAGGCTTAATGCAGGCAAATCACAGTCCTCTCCAGTGATGGTAACAGTTGTTGTTTTTTTCTTTTTTGGCAATGTTTATTTCTCTCATGAGCGTGAAAGAGAGAAAGACAAGCACTCTCAACCGGACCTCATGCCATGATTCCCCCACTGCCCTCCCTGCCCTGATGGATGTGGTGGCCTGGAGTTTACAGGTCGACCCGGGGAACTGAACCTGTGCCCTTTCTTATGGATCCGGGATTGTTTGTGTATTACCGCTGCACCATGGAACCCGGTCTGAGGATAATAGTTCTAACTATTGAAATGGACTGCAAACCCAGAGCTATGCTGAACACTTTTGAGGTATTACTTAAAACAACCACCCAATGAGGTGGGACTGCGTGTATGCCCAGTTAACGAGTGAAAAAAGCAGAGGTCAGAATAGCTAAGTGATTTTTCCCAAGGTTACCCAGCTAGCTCAGGGTGGAGCTGAACGCTCAGATGAGCCCAGATACGTGTGTCTGCCCCCAGCGCTGGCGTGGCTAAATATCAGCGTCTACTCTCAAGCCCTGCCCGCCCTGGGTGGCCACATCAGCTCTCCTTCTGTCGGTGAAAAGATACAAAACTTGTCTGTGTCGTTGGAAGTGGCAGGAAGGTCACAGCCAATCCCTCTGTGGTGATGAGTCCATGCTGGTTTATACCGGACTCCATTTTTACACAAAATGTCACATGTCCCACAAGGGACAAAGGCCACACCACTCCCAGCACAGCTAATGGCATTTCCCAAAACAGCGCTCTAATCTGTACGCTCTGTCCTGCACCTGCCAAGCTGGTGATAAGGTGCCGCGCCTGTGGTTGCTAGGTGTATCTTACGGTAGTGGGTCACTGCCAATCCTTTCAAGGGACACTTGACTGGACCCAGAAGAGTGCCTCTTTGTGAGGGAGAGACAAATAAAGGGCAGAGTAAATGCCTCCCAGGGAGGGTCTTCCCGACTATCTGAACTCAGGATTCCCGGCCACTTCCTCTTGGTGGGACAGGAATTGATGGGCCTGGAACAGGCTCTGTAGTCCCACCCCATGTCCAGAACACGGGCCTGTTGCTATGGCCTCCACTGACTTCCAGGTGTGAGGCAGCCTTCCTACACTCTTTGTCTTTCTTAATTTGAAAACTATCTCAGACACCCAAAGCACATACGTAACCTGTAAGGCCACTTTAAGTAATAATAAACAATCGGGGCTGGCAGGTGGCATGGTGGTTAAGGGTGCTGGACTCTCACATGACTGACCACAGTTCAAGTCCCAGACCTCGCAGCTTGCTTTCTCACTTTCCCTCTCTCTTGCTCTCGCTCTTGCTCTGTCCCTCTTGGTCAAATTAAAATAAGTAAATAAATAAATGAAGTTAAATAAAATAATTCTTAAAAAGAAGAAGAAGCATAGACAATCATCCACATGGCCAACACAGAATTAACTGACTGCTCAGTCAGTGACAGGCTTTTCCACACAACCTCGCTGCGCGGGGGCTAGACCATCAGGGTTCCCCAAGTACGCACTGCGGCATTCGCACAAGACGGCAATCTGGCCCAGGGCTGAGTTTTTCAGGAGGGATCCCGTGTGACTGTCTGAGATCCCTTGAATGACCTCCCAAATGCAATCCCTCTTTTCTTTCAAGAGAGACTCATAAACCTCACTTTTGTGACAATCGTTTATTTAGTCCTATGCATATGTACCGCCAAACAACGCATTGTGGGTGTGGCAGGTTACGCCACTGTGGAAGTGACCCCGGCTCTCTGTCTCCCTACTCTGGTGGGGAAGCTCGGTGGACTTGGCTTACCAATATAGATCACTTGCAGCAAGGGCTGGCTCTTATTTTTAAAACATTTTTCCATGACCTCATACAGGGACTCTGATCCAACCTAGAAATCATAGGCCATCAGAAGGCGGTCCAAGCCGACTCAGAGCAGGGAAAACTGATGCTGGGGAGGATTTGGATAAAGGGGAAGGAGAATGGGAACTCTGGGAAGAGGGAACAAGGTTCACCCATCTAGGGCCTGTGTGGGAGACCGTGGGGTGGGGAGGTGGTGGGCTTGGATGGCGAGGGCGGCAGGGAGCGAGGGGTTAGTTCGGGTGGTAGGACACTTCCTTTGTCCACAGAAAAGAGCATATGCTGAGGAGCTGGCCCAGAGACGCTAAAGTCTGCTGAGGCCACACAACCCCCGGTGCGCCTTCTCATCCACACACAGCCTGCCGCAGTTCAGTGACAGAACTGCCTCATCGCCGTGGGCAATGACGTAAGGACCCAGACTAGACTCTTCCCACCCGGTAGCCCTAGGTTGGCAAACTCTAGCCCTCAGGCTGCCACTTGTTTCTGTAAATAAAGTTTTATTGGAACACAGCTAGGCTTATTTGTTTGTGAACTTAGGACTGCCTTTGTGCTGCCACAGAGTTGAGTAGTGGCAATGTGGGCCACGAAGCCCAAGGTACTTCCTGTCTGGCCCTTTCACCACACGGAACATGCTGGCAGTGGCGAGAGGACTGGAGAGTTGAGCATCGAAAACTGAAGGCTTTAGCCTGGCAGTGAGACGCCTCTGTTCACCATTGAGCGGGAGGATGACGTGGCCTCTCTTAACTTCGAGGGGACAGCAAGGGTGAGCCCAGAGGTGGAGAAAAACAAGGTGTGGGTGACCGTTAGCAAGACTCACTACTGCTCTTCCTAGGATGACCAGGTTGGGCACGATGAAGAGCAAACGAATTGTAGTTTGCTTGTTTATCTCTGAGTTCCTAATTCCACGGAGGGAATGAAAACTGATGAAGACTCAGCAGAAAGGAAGACTCCCCTTCTTCAGGAGAGAGATGTTAAAAGAGGTCTGGAGATGGAGACAGCAGGTGGTATGGTGATTAAGGCACTAGAGTCCCACATGGCCAACTGCAGTTTGAGTCCTGGACCCTGTGTTTGAAAATCACACAGGGCACGTGTGCGTGCAGGCTCAACATCCTAGGAGGAGAAGGGATCCTCCTAGAATGAGTGGCCATCCCCCCAGAGGGTGATCATTCATTTTTCCATTTTCCCTCTCTTCTCTTTTTCTGGCAAGCGCATGAACCCTGTGGCAAAAACCTTTAAAGGAAAAAAAAAAAAAGAAAGAAAAAGACGAGGTCTAGAGTGTTTGATGAGATGAAGCCTGAGGTTTCAGAAATTTCTAGGAACACAGGAAACCAGAATATGGTAGAAAAAGAGAGAGAGATAATCAAGTCTTTAAAAAGTTTGTTTAAAATAAAGCCTCCTCTGGGTCCAGCAGATGGTATAATGTTTACATTGCTGGACTCCCACGTAGTCCACCACAGTTTGAGTCCTAGACCCGGTAACTTAATACTCATGCTGGGCACGTGTGCGTGTGTGCCCAAAATCCCGAGAGGAGAATGGAGGAGAAGGAACTGCAGCGTAGCAATCTCCCTGGGGGGTGACTTCTTGCTTTCTGTCTCTCTATCCCTTTCTGTCTCTCTGGCGAGTGCACGCGCCCTAGAGCAAAACATCTATCTATAAATAAATAAATAAATAAAAATAAGCCTCCCCCAATCACTTTGCAAGTCTGGCAGTGCCAGGTTCCCATCTCCTGGAACACAGCGCGCCCAGGGCTTGATGGACAAGTGCTATTTCCTGACACCGAGAGCCCAGGCCGCACTGAGCATTCTTTGGGCAGGCACGGTGCTGTTAATAAACACAGGCCCAGTGTTCTGCATAAAGAGGAAGGAAGTATTTACTGAGCACAAGAGCTCTGGGTCACACACAATAGAGTTGGGAAACCACCAGAATAGGCCTCGTCACCAACAACATCCGTGCCATGCTCTCCCGTGCCCAACATGCCCTGGGGCCTGGGAGCAGCAGGAGAAAATCCTGGGTCCTGCCCTCGACAGGGCTTCCAGAACAGAGGTGACCCACTGACCGGGTTGCGTAGGGAGCCCAGTCATCAGAGAGGACTGGACGGTCAGAAGGGTGTCTGCTAGTCCCGAAGGCAGGCAGTTATGTAAGCACAGGGTTTGTGGCGGTGTTTACAGAGGGCGCTTACTCTGCTGCCAGAGCTCTGCAGAGAAGCTTAACAAAGGGGACTTCCATAAACAAGAAGACGTGGAGGCTCCCAAGACTTGTGGAAAAAATGGACCTGATTCAGACAGAGACAACACGTAAGGAAGTGTAGTGAGCTGGCCTCATAGCCTCATGGTTAAAGAGAGCTAGATCCCACATGGCTGACCGAGGTTTGCATCCTGGCCCCCGTGGCTCAGAAAACACACCGTGTGTGTGTGCCCCCAAATCCTGATAGGATGGAGAAATGGAGGAGAAGGGACAGGGGCATGACCATGCTCCATTGTGGGGGTGCTTTCTCCCCTTTTCCCCCTCTGTTACTCTGGTGAGTGCACACACTCTCTGGCAAGTAAAAAAAAAAAAAAAGGAAGTGGGCAGGGTAAGAAAAAAGATAAAACATGGATGGAGGCAGGGTGAAGCTGAGGGGGTCTGACAACAATGGCGAAGCCCCCACGCCTTGTCCTTTACACTGGCACAACTGCAGAGGAGAACCACTCTGCCGGAGAGTGGCCAGCAAGCCTGGCACCTAGACGGGCTTTCCCCGTGTGGCCCTGGACTTCAGGCTTTGGGTGAGGAAGAACCTCAGGCAAATTCTGCTTCCTGTGCCCATTTGAGCTGGTTTCTCATCTGGAAAATAAGGATAATAGTAGTACTTTTCTCTTAGGGTTGTTTTAAAGATTAAATGAGACGATGTATTCAAAAGCACATAGATAGAACCATTGCTCAAAAATTATTCTTATTGCAAATGTATTTTTATTTTTAAATTTAATTTTCTTTATTATTTTTATATGCATATATTTTACATATATATTTTAAAATTTGCTAAAGGGCACATACATTCACCAGAAAGAACCAAAGAGGGAAAGTGAGAAAGCATCCCCCATGGGATATGGCCACGCTGCAATCCATCTCCTGCTGGGGTTTTGAGCATGCATGCACATGCATTCGACATGGTTTTCAAACCACCGAATCCAGGACTCAAACCATCCACTTGGCCATGTGTGATCCAGCTGCCCTAACTAGCACACCGCCTGTGACCCCATATATATATTTTGAAAGCTTATTTATTTATTACTTCCATGTGACAGAGAGACAGTACCCCAAACAGTCTTGATGCCTCCATCACTCCAGCCTCAGCCAGCCCTGTCATACTCAGGGGGGGTCTCTGGATACAAACCTGGAAACTTCCAATGTGTGTCAGCCTTGCTGCATTGCGTCTTCCCCTGCACCACCATTGGGCCCCCTTAATAGATATTTGAGTAGTAATTTATTGAGCGAGCATGTACTACACGGGAGTGATGCTCTCAGCCCCCCTGAGGAATTAGAAGAAAAGGGGACCAGAGATGGAGTAGTGGTGATGCTGCTGGACTCCCATGTAGCTGACTACGGTTCGAGTCTCAGACCCAGCGTATGCCAGGTACGTGTGCGTGTGTGCCCAAAATCCCAATACGAGAATGGAGTAGAAGGGATTGCAGCATGGCCATTTCCCCTGGGAGGGGGTGGTAATTCTTTGCTTTCTTCTCTCTGTCTCCATAAGAGCATACACCCTACAGCAAAAATATCTCTTAAAAAAAAAAGAAGAAGAAGAAGAAAGGTAAAACCAGCGTGCACTGAGGAACTGACTCTGGGTAGTGGGAGTAAGCCCTGACGGGCAGCAGCTGATAGTTTTGGTGGGCTATATACTTCTATTATGGCTAATTTCCAACTGCCCATGGCTTAACAACTGGCTGGCAAAACTCTTGAGCAGTCAGCTCTGGAGAGCAGGTCCCAGTCAGTGAACTTTCTCTCTAGTTACAAACAGCACATACGTGAGCAGTTAATAATGGTGGATGGCTTCTGACTCACGTTTACACACCCACGGTCCACAAATGGCTGCTCCAGACCGCAGGGGTCAGAGGGCCAATTAGGGGTCCTGTTTGCCTCTAGTGCCATGACTTGGAAGGGGAAGGCATAACACGCTGTTGTTCCTCTGGTCCTTTGGCAGCCACCAAAGGGAGGTGTGTTCCTGGCATTCCGAGTTCCAGCAGACATGGAGAGATGATGTGTCAGGAAATCCAGACCCTGGGCTCTACCTCAGCCAACAGGGCCTGCCCCTCAGTTTTACCAGCAATCTGCACAGCGAAGGCAAGGTCTTGAACACACATCCTGGCTTGGGAATCCTGAAACTCTGACTTAAAAATTAGTTTTGGGACTCCAACTACTTTGTAAAAATAGGTTTTTTTTTTTTTTTTAAATTAAAAAAAAAAAAAAGCATTTCTGGGACCATCAGATGGCATAATGGTTACATTGCTGGACTCCCACATAGTCAACAGTGGTTTGAGTCCCAGGCCTGGTGGCTTAAAACTCACTCCGGATGCTGGGTTCACATTGGCCAAGTCACCACAGCTCCCCACACCAAGCCGTAGAACATGGCACATGTGATTGCGGCCTTAGGCAAGGCCGAGTTCCAGTTCCCCAGTTACCACGTTGAATATGGTCGACTTACGAGATGTGATGGCTGAAAAGCAGCTCATCCTGATGGCCATGGGGCCAACCGCATCTTCAGTCGTGGTCCTCTGGACAAGTGGCAGGTCCCGAGCTTGTGAGGGCTTCCAGCGCTGCTCCCTCCTTTTCTTTCTTTGTTCTTCTTTTTCCTTCTTCTTCTTCTTTTTTCTTAGAGAGATTTTTGCTATAGGGTATGTGCACTTGCCAGAGAGACAGAGAGACAGAAAGTGAGAAATCACCCCCCAGGAGAGATGGCCACTCCACAATCACTTCTCCTCCATTCTGCTCTTGGGATTCTATACACACAAGTGCAGATGCCTGATATGAGTTTTAAATCACTGGTGCGGGACTCCAACCACGGTCGACAACGTGGGAGTCCAGTGACATAACTATTATGCCATCTACTGGTCCCAACTTCCCTCTCCTTAATCATACCCACGGATATATCCTACTTCCCGTACACCTGAAAAACAAATACATGACAATGACCAAGTATTTATTGAGCACCTGCTGAATGTCAGGGACTGTGCTTCATGCCCATTGTCTAACAGCATTCAAATAGCTCTTGGCTGGTCTCCTGTGCCTTGTCTGTACACAAGGAAATGAGGGCTCAGAGAGGTTGAGGGACTTTCTCAGACGTGCAACCAGTAATGGAAGAGCTACGGTTTGAATCTTGTTTTGTTTGACTCCAGAGACTTACGTATGCCTTTTGCCTTTGGAGATGGAGGACATCCTGCACACTGGAATCAAATGGGTTACATGGAAACAATTCATGCAACAGGGCTTCTGAGATGGAGCGCCCCCTGTGGGCTGCAGTTCTCAGAGGAGGCTTCATGGAGGACTGGGATTTCAGTTGAATAGGATTCGCCTTGGCAGAGTGGGAAGAACACATGTAGAAGGGTTTTCTGTGAGCGAAAACATGAGCAAGAATAATAAGCTGTGTCTAGGGAACAAGACGAAGTATATCGGAAAGCAGAGGGAGGAAGGAGCTCAGGGATGAAGCCTCTGTCTTCTGTAAGGTCACAGGGAGCCACTGAAGATGCAAGAGCAAGGGAGTCACATGATGACAGCTACATACTATTAAAGTTAATTTGAGAATAATTTTTGGGATTGGAGGAGAAGAGGGAAGACCAAGAAGTTGGAAAAATAAAAGAAGAAGGTAATGAGATGGTCAGACCTCTTGCCATACACAGATTTCATCTGAGAATATAAAAGATAACAGTATACAGCTAAGCAATATAATAAATATACACCTCATAGTGCATACAGGACGATTTAAGGCTTCCGGGAGTTTGCCGTGAGAACACAACAGTAAATAGTATGTTTATCACTTCGTCAGGCTCAACACATGGTCTTTGAAGTGCTCTAACAGGTTAGTAGTTATCAGTTAAATAAACGAGCAATCAGTGCAGGAGTAAATGTGTCATTGAAAATGAACTGCTGGTCTGTAGTGGACTTCAGTCTGTACTCAAATCAGCTGGGATACACTATTTGTGTGTACAGGGGGGTCTTCAAAAAGTTCATGGGGAGGGAACCAGCAGTTAGCGTAATGGCTATGTCGCTGGATTCCCATGTAGTGGCTTAAAACTCACGCCGGGCGCGTGTGCGTGCGTGCCCAAGATCCCGAGAGGAGAATGGAGGAGAAGGGATTGCTGTGTGGTCATCCCCCCTGGGGGGTGATTTCTCGCTTTCTGTCTGTCTCTGTCTGTCTGGCGAGCGCATGCGCCCTATAGCTAAAAAACAAAACAAAACAAAACAAAACACCTCTGCAAAAAAAAAGCCTCTATGCAGTATATTCTGGATGGGAAATCATATTTTGTATGCTGTGACGATGCTCAGGGAATGAATGTAAATTAATTAATTAATTTTATAAATGTTTCAGAAGAAAAGTACAGGGCACTTGTAACTAGATTCTAGCTTTATCCATATTTTTAGTTTAAGGTATTTTGTGAATCAATAAATATGGGAAAAATTTTAGTATGGAAGGGAGCAAGGGGAAAGGGGAAAGAAAAGAACAAGTAAAAGTATGCATAATTGACCAAAAAATGAGAAGCTATTTGCTGATAAGTTATAGAGTAGTATCTGCCTTGACTGACATGCATAGTATTTGTGCTGAAAAAATAAACATTGGACACTGTAAAGATGTGATTAAATGTAAATAAATAAATTTAAAAAATAAAAAATATTGGAAAAAAAGTTCATGGAAAATGCCTGGTATGTATGGATCCCAATATTTTTTGGCACCAAAATAAAAAACACAGACTTTCATTAAATTTCCCTATGAATATTTTGAAGTCCCCTTGGTTATGATGCATGTAGCCTATTTGCTAAGGATCTGACCTCTAGAATCTGATCTCCTCAGGGTCAGCAAGAGATGTGGTGGTTAGGGCACTGGACTCCCACATGGCTGACAACTGTTCGAGTCCTGGGCCCAGTGACTTGAAAAACACACTGGGCATGTGTGTGTGTGAATGCCCAGAAACCCAGAAGGAGAATGGAGAAGAAGGAACTTCCAGGTGGCCAAGCCTCCCTAGGAGTGATTTCTCACTTTTTCTGTCTCTCTCTCTGGCAAGAGCTCTAGAGCGAAAACTGAAAAAAAAAAAAAAAAAAGAATCTGACCTCCTCGCCCAGTGGCTGTTCTTTCTCTCTTCTCACCTGTCCTTTGGTTCCTTTGTCTGGGAGGAGTTATGTGACCGGCTGATGGGTGATTGGTTCCTGCTCTGTAGCCCTGACCTCAGTTCCACTTTCAGAGGAGCAGTGGAGGGTGTAAGGAGCCTCCAGCTGAGAGAAGTGCTGTGGTCTTCTCGTCCCATGGTTTGGATAAGTGTCATGTGAATGGAGTTTACTGCGCATTGGCTCAGTTACTGAACGTGTTCGTGCGCTTGTGTTGGGTTTCTGAGCTTTTTCCTTGAGTTGGTTTGTCCTTTTACACTAGCTCTAGGAGACAGCTCACCCTGCAGGAAAGGAAAGGGAAGGGAAGGGAAAGAAAACAGAGGAGGAGACAAAAGGAAAGGAAAGGTGCCGTGTGAGCTTTTTCTAGTGAGGCCCAGTGCACAGGATCCGGGATCTGGAGTTCCGAGCCATCTCTGCCATCCTAAGGTCCTTGGTAAGTCCCCTCGCTTGTCCAGGCTGCAGCTGCCCCCTGTCTGCACCTTTAAGGTTATTTCCAAATCTGACGATTTAGCCAGGACAGGAACTTTCAAGAAACCTGGGAGAAGGAAGAGAATTTGTTTTTATTTTTTTCCTTTGATCGTCTAAGGAAGTGTGATTGAGTATTTATCTTGTTAAAGAAAGGTTGGGGCTGCACCAGCTCCCGGGCTCAGCCCTAATACACTGCTCAGCAGAAGCTGGATTCTACATGGTGACTGCAGTTCAAGCTCTAGTAATGCTGCAAACACGTGAGGCGCACGCACTCAAGCTCCAGATCCTGGACCTGGAGGACTGGAGGGAGGAAGTCGTGGTGTGACCAAGCTCTGGAAGGTGCTCTCCTGTCTCTCTCACTCGCACGTGTTCACATACATGCAAATAAAGAAAAACAAATTTAATTTAAAGAAAAGGTCCGGGGCTGTCACCATGCTGCCTGTTCCACATTCGGCTTCTTTGGGGAGCAAGAGACAGGTGCCAGGCTTTTGGTTGCCTGGTCTGTTTCCCCAACAAGGGCAGCGGGGCAGCTGCTGCTGGGCTGAGATGTTAGTTGCACATTCTTTTCACAGTGACTTGACCCAGCAGACTCTGCAGCCCCAGGTGGGATGAGCTCAGCACTAAAGGACGGGCAGAGCCAAGGACATGGCCAAGGGCACGGCCAAGGACGACGGGGAAGTGAAGGCAGAAAAAGATACACAAGTGAGCTCCCAAGGTCTGGTGTTTGACAGAAATGACCTTTGACTAAAAGGAAGAGAAACTGAACAGACTCTAAATTTGTCTAAGTTAGTCCTTGAACAGAAGTAACATCTCAGGCCCCTTCTTTCTCCAAAAGCCAGATGCCGCGTCAGGCTGGAAGGTGTGGCAGGTGAGGAATCTGCAAGACACTGAGGGTGAGGCCTCCTTTTATTTTTTTAAAATTATTTATTTTATTTTATTTATTCATTCATTTTATTTTAATTTGACCAGACACAGGGAGAGAGAAAGTGAGAAAGTGAGAAACCAAGTCACCAGGTCCAAGAGTTGAACCGTGGTCAGCCATGTGGGAGTATCCAGCGCCTTAACCACCATGCCACCTGCTGGTCCCAAGGCCTCCTTAAAGGTACTCCCCTCCCTGTGCCCAACTTGCCCGCCACCCTGGGCAGTGTAAACATTGTCTTTCATTTGGGTCTTAACTTGAAAAAGTAGATTAAGAAGCTACAAACCCGAACGAAGTTTGCAGCCATCTGAACAGTTCTCCTTTGTTAGCGACCCACAGCTGAGGATGAAATTAACAATGAGGAATTCACATTTGGCAAGAAGCAAAATATGAAAGCCCGATGGCTGACTTCCTAATGGACAAGGCTATTTTCCTCAACAAAGAGCCTTAGGTTGCCAGAGGAACCATTTGCAGGGGCCCCAAAGCGTTTGGGATCAGACCCTCTGTCGGGGTAGCCCAACCCTCTGATCGGAAGCGGGATGTCACATTCTCTGCTGTTGGTTCTGGCTTTAATCCATTGATGCTGCAGGCCAAGGGCTGAGAGTGTGCAGACTGGACTCTGTGTTTTGGAGAGACCCTGTACTTAATTGCAACAGCCAGGACTCTAACCTCTCTGTCCCCTAGCAGGTTCCTGCCAGCTCCTTTAGGTGACCTGAGGTGACAACTTGCCTGTTCCACCCTGATTCCTCGGGAATGCTGGGCTCCAGGGCAGCATCTCAGTCTCACCTGCAGGCTCGCCTATTCCTTTCCGTTTTAGGAATCTGTGTAAACCCCTGGGATGAGTACTGGGTTACCAGGGTGGAAAATGCACATCTGGGCTGAAACCAGGACAGCCAAAATGATCACAATGAAGAGCTCAAAGGGACTAGCTGACCTAGAAATTACTTGGCTCTTGTGCTTCCCCCAATCTCTTCCTTTCTCCCTTACACCAATGACTGAGAAGAGCTCGAACCTGAAAATACTTGGCTTTTACCTGCTTTCCACCGGCTAAGGGGAAACTCCTGAGACCCTTGAATGCTGGGTCTTCCTTTGGGATTCTCCTTAGGGCCAGATCCACGGCATGGCAATGGATAGACAGTGAGGAGGCTGTTTACACAAATAATGCATGGTATTTGCATGTAATTTTCCTGTGCAGTTCACACAGTGCAACCCTTCCCTGGCTCTCTTTCAAGTTAAAAGCATTTTTATGGCTCTCTTGATTGCAGTCTCCTCTGGATTTTTCCTTTTCTCTGCTATCTTCTCCCTGGGGCATGCTCCTGGACGCAGATCTCTGACAGGGGAGCTGAGTGGAGCCAAGGGACCGACCAAAGAGGAATGCAGGACTCAGCTCCTCCAGAGATGGCTGCTGCAAGGACTTAGCTGCTTATCTCACCTTTGCCCCAAGCAAGGCCGAGGTTCTCATTCCAAAACTGTAACACCATGTGATCACATTGTAAACTGTGGACTGTAACTCAATTCACAGAAAGTGTCTTTGATCCAGAAGTTTGAACTGCCTCCATTCCTTTCTCTTCTGCCTCTGGTCATCACGTCTTTTTGAAATGGGTCTGGATTCACTTATCACATCTTAGTAAATAGATGGGCTATTTTCAGACCAGGAAATGGAGACATAGATTCTAAGGGTTTAGTCCAAAGTTATACACCTGCCTAGGTTCTTGATGTGTCTAACTCAAAGTCTAGTGCTGTTTGCCTCAATTTCATTTTTTTTTAATTACTTTATTTAACTTTATTTATTATTTATTCATTTGTTTATTTAAATTTGACCAGAGAGGGACAGAGTGAGAGAGAGAGAGAGAAAGTGAGAAAGCAAGCCGCCAGGTCCAGGACTCGAACCACAGTCGGCCATGTGGGAATCCAGCACCTTTAACCACCATGCCACCTGCCGGCTCCTGCCTCAATTTCTTCAACTGCAGAATGGGAGTGTTACTAGCAAGTACTTCATAGGGTCTTTGTGAAGGTTGAATGCTTTAATATGCTTAAGGTGTCTTAAATAGGGCTGGACACCTAAAGAAAGCCCGGTAAGTGTCCACTAATATGAGTGTGCTATGCTTATTTTTCTTTACTATTCCAAGTGTTGGACTCGGACTCCTTCATGGCTTGAGAAGTATTATCTAAGAAGGGGAGTGAACCCATTTCCCAGGCTCAGAGCAGGCCAAAGAGGGAGCGGAATACATGGCTTACACACAGCAGAACCAAGCCACCTGGCCCTGGCTAAGCCGAGGAAACTCACGGGTGAACCCACAAAGAGGCGGGATGAACCTTTTACAAAATGCTAAGGGCAGGAAGAACAAAGGCTTCTGTACAGAGCCCAAGATTATAAGGCAGCATTTTACTTTGAGAGGTGCTGAAGGCCTTCTTTCTGCAGGCTGTTTGGATTCTTCAAGCCTTATATTTTACCCTTACCCAGCAATTACAAGGGAGGACCTGTGTGTGGTGAAAGAAGTATGGAGAACACCAGTTCCCTCCCAAAGGTAAGTCAAAGCCTTCTAGTGGTCAGGGCCATGGACAAAAGGGGGAGCCCTGAAGTCTGCCGGTGAGCCCTGGTACTCTGGAGATGCTGAGTCCCTGGGGCAGGACTTGCCTGAGAGCTAAAGCTCTCCCCAGCATGGGTCAATATAAGTGACAGGGATTGATTCCTGCCATCCTGTGGACCTTGGAGAAAACCTAAGTGATTATACACAGATACCTTTAGCACCAGACTACAGCTGGCTATTGCTGGAAAGGGGACAACAAAAAATACAAAATATAGGGGACCAGCAGGTGGCGTGGTGGTTAAGGCATTGCACACTCCCACACGGCCAACCACAGTTAAGAGTCCTGGAACTGGTGGCTTGCTTTCTCACTCCCCCCTCCCCTCTGGTCAAATTAAAATTAAAAAATGAATGAATAAATAAATAATTACTTTTTAAAAAATAAAAATACGAAATATAGTCATAAAAGAGCTAGACTCTATCAAATACTTTTATGATCCTAACTAGGAAAACTAGACGCCCCAAACTGTCCTCTGGCCTTAGCTGAAGTCATGTTCCAACGGTTGAAATTTTGCTGATCAGTCCGCCCTCTCAGAAAAAAAAAATCAGACCCACAAATAAAATAAAAGGTTTCAAACACAAATGTCTGTAATTAAGCTTTGGAATGACGCCTTCTGCCTGCCCAAGCTTCCCACTGTTGTGCGTGTGTTTTCATCAAGAGGGGCCCCTGGTACAGGCTAGGTGGATTTCATTTCCCCAGCGTTGACTGTCTTGGCACGCAGACTTCACGCAGGCCTTTCCAAGGTTTCCAGGGTACCGTTTCCAAGGCACAGACACAGGCTGGATGCCTTGATCTTAACGTGAGCTGATGCTCTCCTTCTTCAGGACCACACGAGCTGCCCCAGGGGCTATGAACAGCATGATGAGTTCCACGTGCTTCGCAAAGTCCTGTGCGAGGGAGATGGCAACATTTTCCTGCCCCACATCTGCATCAACTAGTCTTATCGGACCCTGGATGAGGGGCTTAGCAGGATACTTGGGGTTCAGACGCTGGGGGCACCACAGAGATGAACGCCTCCGCCACCCAGAGAATCGCTCAGGCTCCAGGAGCCAAGGGGCGCCCCTCCTCTCGGCCTCCTATGTAGATTTCTGATGACTGACGTTTGCAGATGTTGAGGGGCGGGGCGACACTTTCGGCTGTCTGGGACAATGCACACGAGCTCCGGGCCCGGCCTCGCGGACCGCGAAGGAGGCGGCTCCCTGCGCGGTAATCCGAGCCGGGATAAACAGGCACGGAGGAGGAG